CTTAAATATAGTAATATAGTAATAATAATGAAGGTAAAATTTTTTTAAAAGAGTTCTTTTGATTATACTTAAAATGCAGATAATGAAGATAATAACTTTTTAAATAGCGTTTTTATTTAACTATAATGAAGATAAAAATATAGTTAATAAATGAGAGTAAGTAGAGTTTTTATTTTCCTTCTTTGTCTTACAACTACGAACTTAGTCATTTTAAGAACCTTGAAGTCGAAATATCTATACATGAGACTGCAGCTCTACAGCTACGAACTTAGTCATTTTAAGAACGTTGAAGTCGAAATATCTATACATGAGACTGCAGCTCATTAGTACGGTAACTTTGTTGGGCAGAGAGTAACGGCCCCGATTTATCAGTTGCGTTGTTCTATACTTATTGTATGGAGATTATGTCATACGTGTACGTACTCTGTATATGTGGTAATTTAAATGAGACTAATGGAATGCTCACATCTTTCAGAACTGATGTTATAGGAAACTGTGTGGTGCTTTTCGGAATACGATGGTCAAAAATGTTGCCATGACCTATTATCTATTTCAGGTTATGTGGTCAATGTGCTGATATATTAATCAAAGTTCAAAGTACGACATTCTGATTTAAGCTTAAATGTTATGAAAATACTAGAGCGAGGAACACTATGCCACCAATTAAATACAATATTTAATATTTTATTAACCGTAAGTTAAAAGAATAGCTTTTGTTTGGGTTACTTGTGGAATGTATTGTCGTTTACTTTGTTTTTAAGTTTTGAGTCGTCTGTGTAAAAAAGTATTGCTTTGGTATCGTATTTACTTTTAGTCTAGACCCAGTCTAAACAGGGATGCAAATATAGATATTACGATTAAGTAAAGCGAGTGTAGGACCGCAATTGATATTTGGAGAGATGGCTAAACTATTATTTAGTATTTGAGACCCATAGTAGAAAAAAAGGAAGAATAAAGAAAAAATTGTTTGAGAAAAAAGGGGAAAGGAGGTCAAACAACAGATAAATTGAATTGATGAAAATGATTATAATATGAAAGATGAGTGAAGAGCATATAGAGATAACGAGGGACAAAACGAAAAATATTTTCAAAGCAAAAATAAAATCATTTATGCCAAATGTCATGGCTATATGTGAACTAATCATTGGGCTCATATTTTTCTTCATAAATAATTTTGCGATAACCTATTGCGATTTCATGTGCATTACTCTACTCAGCAAGCAATGCGATTTGTGTTCATTAAGTGACATTTTGACGGTTCTGAAGTTGCATTAACAGTAAAACGCAAACCTTTAGTTTCTTATGAATTTTGTTATTGGGGTATGTGGAAGTAAAATTCAAACTTTTCCAGCTGTTAAGGCCTGAAACTACAAGAGTTTCATGTGTTGTGTATTGCATGCAGACAGAAAATGAAAATGGTTCTAAAAAGAGCGGGAGGGAAGGGAGTTGATTATATCACAATAGTTACACGCATTGCATTGTGATGGCGGTCAGACGAATGTTAAGATTTATTTTCACATTTCAACATGGCTATGTGGTAATTATGTGCTTTAGCCAAGGTGTACATACCGTAGCCATTCGAAGTGTTCATTTGGCTGTATGTGCCCTGACCGACACTTGATACTCGACAGCCGACAACCGACAACCGACAATGCGGCGCACTATGCGCAATCAGGATCTGTTATTGGTTTTTAGGTCAAACTTAACATTTTTGACATTATTAATAAATTTTTTATGATTTCATTTTATTTTGCGGTGCTGTGAAGGAATTTGTATTCACACACTGCGCAACCGGCCGGCTATAGTCAATTAATCTGTAGTTAGACTTGTCAAATGTAGGTCAATTTTGCGGTGTCCTGTTGTGCGCTTTAAGGGTAACTTCGATGTCAATCTATTGCAATGTTGAATATTTTCAAAATTCTACTTTAATTCCAGTGAGTGGTTGTTTATAAAGTGTAGTCGTATGACATAATTGATTTGCTTACTAAGAATGGAGCTATGCATCAATTTTATTTTAAATTTTAAATGATTGCAAGTAGTGTCCTTAATTGGTTTATGTGAACAGAAATAGGCCAAAGAAATGTTACATTAATTATGGACATTGCATAGTTAGTAGAAACAAGCTAATTTTTCTGAGAGGTTTCGAACAATGGTGAATTATAACAGCAAAATTTTCAACTATTTTTAATTAAATGAATTTTCCACTGACAATGTAGCCCTTTATACTTGGAGTCTCAAAAAATTATTTCCGAATAATTAAATATAAGAAATAATTCCAAGACCACTGATTATGGGTATTATGTGTACTTGTAACAGCTGTATGATCAGTCAAAAATTCAATTATTTGAAAATAAATATACATTTTGTTGTTACAATTCACTACTGTTCGAAATCTTTATATTAAATACAAAAGTTTCTATTAAGTAATATAGTCACTAATGTATTATTTAAGTCTTTAATTGTCTATATACATATATATATATTATTTGTTAATTTATTCTTTCACTTAAAATAATTAGTATATCAAGGCCTAGTTTATGTATTTCTCTAGCTGTTATAGATCTTTGAAGGTAACAAATTTAAAGAAATATTTATCATTATTTTCTTTATTAAACCTATACCTATATTGGATCAAAAAGTGAATCAAAAAAATCTTAGCCATTTTAAGCCTTCTATTTCAATATTTTTATTTTGTCTAAAGTCTGTCTACTACTTCTCGCTATCTTTGATATTAGTTCACAAAAATTTTTGCAAATTAAGCGACAATCGCTAGGTACTGTATTTCATACAATTAGACTATAGGGATAGTCGTTAACCACTGCAGCACAAGACTCTAGTTTCATTAAACGTTTGGAAAATTAAGATTAAATTTAAATAATATTGATTGTTGTGATCATGTAGCGTTCCCACAAAAAGACTGACTGAATTCAGTTAATTTTATAAACTTGATTTCAGTTTAATTAAGCATTATATGTTAGAAAACGAATTTGAATATTCAAGAGTGTACTCCAAAATAAACTGGTCTATTTAAAAATAACTGTCTGTAATGAGGTGATTGGTAAGGTAGATAGATCCCTCACCAATATACTGAGGAATTAAAATTGTTGCGTTTGAAGTGATAGTTCTACAAGATGATGTATGGCTATTATATCCACAAAACATTTTTCTTTGATCAACAAATGCACATTTCCAAAAATATTGAAATAAGATTTTACTGATCCAGGTGAACACAAAAACGTGAATGGCGATTTTCAGCTAAAAAAACAGTCATACTTGTTGATCGATTTTTGGTCGTCAGTTTAATTGTGACAGACAAACCATACTCACTTCATTTGGAGGACAATACACTCGACTAAATTATTGAGTAACACTCGATAATTTAATGTCCAGTTTCAATGCCAAGAGTTTCAATAACGATTTTGGTTAATAAAATTTCTAAAACAGCTTTATTGGGTTTAGCGTTGATCATGGATTTCGGTTGACCAGCATTTTGCCCATCATTTATTTCTTCTTATTTGTTTTCGGACCATAAGGAGGAGTACCTTATTATTTCATTATCAACTGAAGGCATCTTCAGGTCAATGCTAGTGCTTCTAATGTATGAACCAGACTTAACTTTATCTTGAAGTGGAACTCTGTGCTACTATGCGGGTTTTAAGAATTGTTTATAAATTAGCAGCTTGTTACGTTGGAATAGAAATGATTGCTGTCTCACTTAACTTTGATAACTTCCTTCCAAAACAATTTTATGTCCAATGCTGAGATATTTCAGTATATTATATTAAAAGCTTCTACATATTAACTTCGTTATGTCATTGGATTTAAAAGCATAACGATGTCATGCTGATAAATTTAACGGTCTTTAAATATGTTACATTTAACTCGTCTATATAGAATGGCATTCTTTTCAATGTCATGAACTTCTGACAGTACATCGGCGTTATGCTGATATATTTTTTGGTTGTTGAGTACGTTACGCTTAACGTCGGATCTACCTTAACGATATATAATGGAATTCTTAACGTCATGCCTATGCATACTTTAACTCAACCATCCATGTACTATTAAATTCTTTATGAATTTTCATAGCATGAAAATTTGACAGTACTACTTTGAAAGATTTACCTTACCGATACATGCAACAGCTAATAGATGGGCTTACTAAAAATATCTCTTTTCAGAGAATCCTGTTTACTTTGGAACACAACTTGTATTACTGAAAAAAAATTTACTAGATAAATAGTAAGTAATTAATTTTTACTATAACTAATGACGTTAAGAGTATTGAAGTTTTTGCATAGTTGAAGCGAATATATCCTCTTGATTTAACTTAATATGACAATCGATTAAAATACTTATAATTTAAAGTGTATAGTATACTATAAGTACAGTGAATATTTTTTTAAGCGGAAACTATTGAGACTAGCAATTTTATCAGCTTAAGAGAAAAAGAAGATACTTTGCATGAGAAATGGAATTCGGAGACTAGCAATATTGCCCACTTTTGAGAGCAATTTTTTATTTAAACTTTCTTTACCATATAGCACTACTTTGTTACATTATATTGGTTGATATATAATGTAAAATATTCAGAAACTTTATTATTGCCTGTTTCGGAAACACCTAAGCAACAGGTGAAGAAGTTCAATGCACTGCAATTTAAAAGTAACACAAACGTTTTAATGCATTTTGTATTTATGAACCTGAAATGAAGCAATTAAATTGCCTTCGTTGAACTTCAATGTTCAAAACTTTTTAATTATCCTGCAAAATCAGCAATAATAACAATCGCAACTATTTTAACTGCTCTTTCACAATTCATAACTTTTTCATGTAAGCACACAAGTAACAGTGAAAAAATATACCTTAATATATACATTTAGATAGACATTAATATATGTATATACATATATACATATATAGAATATTTGTAAGTAGTAGTATGTCTATCACTTTCATAATTTTAAAAACGCATTGACACATAAGAAGCTTCGGCTCACCTTTGCATTTTAAACTTTTCCACATTAACAAAACGTCGACTACTGTTATTATTATTATTATTGTTGTTGTTATGATTGTTGCTGCTGTTGCCAACATTTGTAGTCTGATTTTGACTTTGCTGTTGACTGACTTTTGCATTTGCATCGGTGCAATTCGCAGTTGTGTCTGTCGCGGTTGTGGCTTGTATGCCAGTACAAATTGTGTAGGTGCCATCCAAGTTTCCGTCGTCGTCATTATTATTATTATTATTATTGTTGTTGTTGTTGCTACCATGATTATTATTATTATTTTTGTTGGTGTTATTGTTGTTGTTGCTGTTGAAGTTATTCTGCTCCTTATGAATATTTTCATTACGTTGAAAATTTTCTGAAATATAAGTGAAAAGATACTTCATTAAAAATTTATTTCATATTAAATATTTTAACACAAACCTTGAGCTGTGCTGTGGTTGTTATTGTTTTTGTTATTTGATTGATAATTTTTATTAGTATTAATATTGTTGCTGTTTTGTATCTGCAATTGTTGCTGGTGTGATTTTCTTCTGTGGTGTTGTGAAGGCATTGTGTAATTTATTTTCGGATAAGTAGAATTCATATTGTACTGTTGTTGTTGTAGGTGAGCATATGCACCCATACCAGGATAGTAGGTCGGCGGTTTATGTACACGCATATAAGTTGCATTAAGGTCCATACGATCCATGGCAGGAAATCTATAAAAACAAAAATATATATTTGTTGTAGTGCAAGAAATTTTTCATAGAAATTATGTAAATATATGTGAAACCATATTTAAAACGAAAAAAAAAAATAAATAAGAATTAAAAAAAACAATATTTTATAATAAAAAAGTGCTAGTTAACAGCCTTAAAAACAACATAAAAAAAAATTTCACAAAAAACAAATCCGTTGAACAACTCTTATAAATTTTTAATTTGAAAAAAAAATAGCAAGCAGCAAGAACTTAAATATATAGTTCATATGTTCTTTCCGTTTGTAACCCGCAAAGATTTGCTTGCACTGAATGGCACTTGGTAGCCGAACTCGACGAGTGACTCTAGGACATAGACCTCACTGTTCTTGGAACCATATAGTATATATAAAAGTGTTAAGAATAAAGTAGATTTGAAAAATAATTATATAAAGAATGAATAAAAAATAAACATATATATAAATAAAAATGTGCCTAAATACATTGGATTGTTTTCTGAGGATTAGTTTTTGCTGAAAACAACACTAGAAGAATTTCAAATGGTGAATATTTTTATATTTGGACACTATTTAGTTCTGTGTGTGTGTATAAAAAGCATATATATAAGAAAAAAAACTTAAAAAAATGAGTTTAATGAGTATGAATTAGTTTAAATACTAATTCAAATACTAAATACTAAAGTAAAACTTTTGAATACCAAAAAATTGATTAAACTAACGGATATTTGTAGTAAATATCGTTCACAATAAGGAAAATTAGTCTAGTGTAGTCTAGACACAAAACACATTTCCAAAAAAAAAAACTATTACACAAATATTGGGATCTTAATGGACAAGTCTATAAGTTGTTAAAAAAACAAAGTACGATATTTTTTTTTTTGACTGAGTTCCAACAACGGTGTGGTTTACGCCTAACAATCCTTCGCTTGCACACCTTCTTCCTGCATGCGCGTCGTTTGTCCCTCCTATCTCAACTACAATAACTTCAAAATTGTATAATCTCTATTTCTCAACATGGTCTTCTCTCAGCTCAGTACATTTGATCCGATAAAGCTCAAATTTTTCAAACCATTCAAATGATAATTAATGCAATCTTCAAAACTACTTAGTCTGATTTGAAAATAGGACACAGGCCACATCTGTTGAAAATGGATTAGGCAGCAACTCTTTGTTAGCTAAAAAGCTCAATTATTTGTTAAGTAGATTATTTATTTATCAGGCTAAATAAGATTAATAACACCTCTTACTTTAAGATCACAGATATTACTCGTTTTAATGAAAGTCAAATGTAGATATTGAGTTCGTACGATATGATCAGATTATTCTCAATTCAGATTATGCGAGTTAATCTTCATTAACTACTTAACCAACTGTAATTGTTGTTGTTGTACAAATGTTTGTTTTCAAACTCTCTTACAACCTTCTTACTCAAGAAATTCTGGATTTCTCCTTTGTGCTCATTAGTATTATTCCAGTTATTGTAGTAATTCTCGCATTATAGCAAAAATCACTTTTTTTGCTTCCCATTATTCGCATGTTTCACACGAAAATTCTGATTGCAGCTGTTCTGAGAGCAATTATGTCATGTGAATGCACAGATAAACCTCATTCTGTAAGAAACCTTAACTCGGTAGTCTGAATTGTTTATAAGGTGGGCGTATGTTTCATTCTTTATTTAACAAAAAGACTAGGTATAAGTATATTTAAATACCATTTATGAAAGGTGGTAGTTAGCAGAAGTACGTCTAGTTATGTAAAACTATCTAATTTAAAGTTGGTTTTGTTCTTTTAAGAGTTTTAATTTTTATTTTTAGAGTTATTTTTAGTATATTTCTATACGTAAATCGTCATCAGGAGTTAAAGTTAAAATTCTTAAAAAACAACACCGACTTTAAAATAGTTTCCAAGTAACAACTCAAAAACTAAAAACAGAATTACTATCTAATTTAAGTTAATCTAAGTTCAGATCTGTTTAGTCTTAGAAATCTATCATTATATATTCGTTGACCCCAATATGCTTTTTAGATTGTTTGAGGTTTTTAGAAGCGGCCCAAACTTCACAAATGGTTTGTATTTGATTCAGAAAACTAAAACAAATATGAATATATCTTAAGAGTTAAAGAAATTTATATGTAAAAAAAAAAAATATACAAAAAAACATTATAGGAATTACTTTTTATTATGACAAAAAAAAAAAATAAAAACAAACAGAATCCAACATAAATAATAATAAATTTTTATCAAGGTAAGTACCTCGAATTTACAGTTTGACGTGTAAATCGTCCTGTTATACCACTCACACCATTTGCAGCAACTACAGCACCGCCAGCATTTCCCCCACTGCTGTTTGTATATGTGCTATCAGAACTTCTTCCATCCATGGAAGAGTCCGAGCAAGATTTGGCAACCATACGCCGATTAATATAATTTGAGTAATCTGTAAAAATATAGAACTGTCATTGTTTATATAGTGGCAAAAAAAAAAACTATAAATAAAATTTAAGGAAAATGCACACACAAAAAGAGGACTCGAGAATGTAAACCACAAATGACAAAAGCGTACTGAAATCCTTTCAGGACTGCGTCTGTCTGTCTATGCAGTTTTATTTGCTTCCATGCATGGCGTTGTTAGGTCAACAACACAAAATAATATAAAACTTTTGGGCCAAAAAAGGGAGTAGGTAGCAGGAACTATAAGCAACTAGAATAACAATAACAAAATAAACATTGCCAAAGCTATTGTTAAGCAATAATTTTTGATAATGAATTTCAGGAATGTTCGATTAATTGAAACTCGGAATTTTGTGTGCTCATTTTTCAAGGATAAAAGCTAAATATAAAAAAATATATATAGGAGTATATATTACCATTGGCTTTTTTTGTAGACAAACCAAAATGCATTGGAACGCTGCTACCCAACATACCTTGTAAGTTGTACGAATGATTGTCGTCCTGTAAGATAAGACAATATTATAGTACGAGTATATCAGTTCAGTAGAGAGAGTATAAATAATTAATATATATAAAATGCCTTAATAGATTAATAAAGATTAATTTTAGAAATAAAGTTCTGATCTAAAGTAAGAATATATATATTTTATAATAATTTTATATTGATTATGTAAATATATAAATAAATTCTAATTCAAAGTATAAGTACAGGGTCTTTTTTTTAGGAACTTTATTCAATATAACGTCAATTATACAGCTGATAAATAGTCTGTCAACTAATATTAATAGAAGGGTTCGAATAGAAATGAAAAGACAACAACAAAAATTTTTAGTTAATTTATTGAAGTTTGGCTGACCATACAACGCTGCTTCGTGTATTGCCAAGTACTCATTGTCAGTGATCTTAGGAAATATAGACAACCTTAAGAATTCATTTTCAATTCGTTAAACTTGTGTTTCCAAATAAAGCTGTAGTTTATAAGCTCGTTATAATTTAAAGCACGGCAAGTGTTTTGGATAGTTTCACTTAACAAATAAGAAAGTGACAAAAAACTTAAACTTAGAACTTGACCATTGAAAGTTTGTGCAGCCTAGGGTACTTGTGAAAAAACACGATTAGTCATCGCTCCTAATTTAACAGGCACGATTTCTAAGCTTCGCAATTGCAGTCGAAAGAAATTATATACGGACTATAAATTAATTTAAAAATTCGAATATTTCCTAAGACAACCGATGATGAGTACTTTTCAATACGTTTCAAGCAAAAATAAATTAAACCAAAATATCTTTAACAATAGTTTCTGGAGTAAGGCTAAGAATAATGATTTATTTTTTTGTGTTCGTGGACATGCTCTGGAGTGCATTAAGATTTAGCGGAATAGTTATACACGTTGTATTGTGAGAGAAAGCAATGGATGGTTAAAGCAAGTCTTCAGTGACTTATATCATCTAGATCAGAGCTGTCCAGATCAGATACGACCGCGGGCCAGTACTGTAAATCATTGGAGGACCGCAGAAACAAATACATATGTTCATAGTTGTTTTGGAGAAAAATGAAAATAAGATTATAATATTAAATTTAGTTTGATTAAAATTGATAAAATATGATAAAAAAAAATTTGATTAAAATTATAAAAACTGTTGTAATTTTCGAACTTATTTAAAGTATATTTGAAGGACTAACACTTTAAACTATTTAAATAATAGTATTGAAGATATCAGAATTTTTAGCTGTAGGATTTTTTATTGATTTTTCTTTGATATATTGTTTATGTATCTTGAAAAATAATGAATATGTACACCTCTTTTTCCACGTGATTTTTTTTCTTTTGGACACAAGCATTACGTCCCCCATTTATATCATTGTGTAAGTAAATACCATTTAAACTTTAATAAAAATTAATTAATTTCAATGTGATATTTTAATGGATAATATATTTTAAAAGGATGTTTTATTTTTTCGATAAAAATAATAATAATTGAGTTAATGATAATAGGTTAGGTTAGGTTATATCGGATCTTAAGGATATACTAAGTCCTATTGTCCCATTGCGTTACCATATAAGAACAGAATGATTTGAAAAATACCTTGAACATGTAATAAAGCCTTAAATGCTCTTTGGATATATGTATTTAAGTTGAATTCCTCAAAGAGTAGAGCCCTTAGCAAAGTCATTCGACGCATGCATGCGCTGGGCAATAATAAAACAGATTTGAGGGATAACGGATAGAGTTGTACCATTTTAATTATAATAAATAACGAAATTAAAAAAATAAGTATTTTTTAAATAGAAAGGTCTTTTGTATAATAAAAAATTACTATAAAGAAATTTTATTTTTTTATCAATTGAATATTTGGCTGACTATACTAATGTGCGGAGTATTGAAAATATTCACCATCAGTGTTTCTTGAAAGTACTACTATTGTATTTAATAATTTGGAAATAATTTTTGTATACCCGAATCAAACCTCGATATTTAGCCACGATTTAAACAACTGACACAATACCGCCCAACACCGTGCTGGACTTATATTGTGGGGTTTGTCTATTTGTGGTCAAAACTCACCAACTAATTTACATACTGTGTTCTATTAGAACAAAATCATAAGCCGGGTTTAGAATATTTCAATAAATTAATCATAATTTTTACTGTTAGGCTTCAGTAATATTCCTTTTTTGTAGAGACTTTGGTTTTATGCACATATATATAATTTTAGTCCCTTTTTTTTAAAAAGTGATTTTTTATTTTCGATCAATTTTTAGTTTTAGTTTTCACAAAATTCAAATAATTATAGATTAATGGTATATTTAAATTATAAATAGTCTTTTGCTAATTAATTTACTTCCAAGAAATTAACTTATTTTGTTGAATTCTTCGATTATTTAATTTTATGTTAATGAGTATGAACATATGTTAGTTAATACAAACTTATATTTCAATACATTTACACAATAACAGTAGTGGAAACACTTTATTTAATTATAAATATTATAATAATTGCTATTTAATGACGAAAATATTACCAAACTTCAAACCATCTATGAGAATTACTGGCACGTAGTCATATGGTCATATAAGTTACCATATGCATACTACATATATATAATACACAAGAGTAACAATATATATATTCCGCAATTAAAAATTAAATTAATATAATTTTATAACATATATTTCAATTGATATTATATATAACATATATACACTATGAAATAATTAAGCTATTTTATTTAAATACAATATTAAAATATACGAAATCAGTATATTTTTATCTTTGATCTTTACGTTATAGCACCTCGTTCGAACACTTTACAAGTCTTATCACATTTCATATTAATTAACTTTATTAATTAGAAGAGTTATTTCCATTATTATTTAATTAAATTTACTTATACCAATTGTATTTACCCATATTTTCAGATTTGCTGGTACTAAGTTGAACATTGGATATAACTGATATACGTCAAGCATTTTATGTCTCATAAACTTTTGGTCTGTTACAAATGGTAGAATCATTTGTGAAACCAATTTTGTTCTCAACATTCCATAGGATAATAATGATTCATATAAAATTTCACTAGTCTCCTGTTAGTTGGTCCGCTAGCAGCGAAAATACAAACACAACTGCCTGCTGTTGCTTTATGAATTTGCATGCTAACCCTGCTAACCCTGCCAACAATGGACGACTATCAACTGAAATGTCTACTGTAACCTACTTCACATGCACATGGGTGCTCCATATGGGTGAACCCTTAAATCCACCGCGACTGACAATAAGTAAGCAATTTTTACATACATATATGCCAACGTAATGACTTAGTTTTGGTATGGAAAAAACTACAGTACATTTTGACTTTATGCATTAATAATCATTTTTGTTTTTCAATTTTTTAATATACAGTGTGAGCTCGAAACAGCCTTAGACTGACAACGATGGGACCAGTAATTGTATTCGTTCAAATAAATTTACTTCGTATGAAAACTGAAATTGGTGCCGAATGCTTTCGTTTAACAGAGCCTTCACTGTACATACATAAGTTGAGTAATATTTCAACCGGCACCTACATGTGTTGCAGTTCCGTGGAATTTATATATTCAATATATGTATATATGCATATTTTCATAGATACTTTATTTACTGTATGTGTATGCGTTTATGTATGCGCAAACAAATATTCATAAATAAAGTGTTTTTTAAACGTTTCATTAAAAATTTTAATTATAACGTCATAAGGTTTAGTTATATTCAATTTATTTATTTAAAACTAAAAACGAAAAAAACTAAGTAAATAATTTAGCTTTTGACTTGATGAAGTTCAAATACCCTTCACACAAAGTTATTGAGACTTATTTTAAAGATTAAAGCCATACGAAAGCAATATCTGATTCAACTGAACAGATTTCGAGATTTTGTTAGCTTAAAAATAAAGGAGTATAGACTTTTAAATGGTACTATTTATGGTATTATTGGTGAATAATGATTTCGTGTCTATCAAAACTATGCGGAACTATATCCAGGATATCTGAATTTTCCATATTTACATACATAATTGTGTGGCAAATCGTGATTCAAAAACTAACGATTGACCCATATTTGTAATTTCTGAGAATGAATTTTCATAATCAATGCTCAATAAAAAATGTACACAGAGAGCTTTGCAAATTTTTTGGTCAATTAAATTCATGCTGTATCTCACTAGCAGAATACTCGATGTTGGCTTTCAAGATTGTAATCGGTTCTAATTAATTCGCATAAACCAAAAATATTAGTCCAGCGGTGACAAATCATACTTGTTTCAAATCATAAGCAACGAATTCACAAATGGATATTACTAGTGTCTAGAGGGTTTATTACCACTCGTCTTTTAATAAATAAATGGTAAGCGTGGACTTACTAAGGACTTCGAGACCATGATTGACTCACAATAAAGTTCTCAACAGATCCACGCTTATCATATCTCAGGAAGAACGACGTCTCCCCCGTGCAGTAAGAATTGTCCTAACTCAAACAGTTACTTGTCACGCATAAACAGGTTTATTCTTAATGTGTGTCCAAACTGCAGTTCTATCCCTATGACATCGCCCATATATTTTCTTCCCTCACTGCACACACAAACCTCCGTATATGCAGCCGTTTTTTGAATAGTCGATTTGGTTAATTGTACATTTTTTCTGAGCACTGATTTTAAACATTCCCACAATTCGCAAATGTTGCTCGGTGGTCAGTCTTTTTATGTTGGTTTGCCATCATTTTATGTATGTGTATAGGCTATAAGTTTGATGACTTTCTAACGAATTAAGTTAGTATTTTGACAGTAAAAGTACCGCTGAAGCCGTATTAATCGCTTAACGCACTCAACTACAAGAAAATAAGTCATATTTAATAATATCCGAATGTATAGACAATGATGAGTTTGAATGATCTGGGCTCACAAATAGGCTATTAAAAAAATCATAACATAAATTATAGATAATAGTTTAATAATAATAATAAATGCTTATAATAACATTATTGTCTTAATAAATATGAACAAATAAAATTTAGTCGTACTGCTACGACATCCACTTAATGGATTTGATGACTTGTTTTACTGACAATTTAATCATTTAACAATTGTTGGAAAAATTGATAAGTCCTTTAGTCCTTCAGTTTAGTTAGAAAGTCTTAGTTCGTTATTGAACAGAACTGTGAGAAAGTTAGTAGTGTTCTTTTGTTTGCTAAATCAATTATTCATATAATTTTTGAACAAAATTTGAGTGAAATTGTAAGAATTTTGAATAAATTATTAAATGCTTCTTTAAATGAATACTAACTGCAACTATGAAGTGAATAACGAAGCAGTTCCAATATAAAATAATTTTATTTTCGTAACAAAACTGGTGACTTTACAAGTAGAATGAAATTAGTAAAATAATTATATATGTGAAATTTTGTGTATTTTATACAGGGTTATTCATTTTTTGGTTTCAAAAGTAAACCTAAATATTGTACATTGAGTTTGTGTCGCATTCTTGATTCTATATAGTATCTTGATCTAGTTATTAGGTGTAATATACAACATGATTGGAATGTCTTCCATTGGACAGTAGTCAATCTTTTTAAGGTAGTTTTTGATGACTTGTGGGCACATAGCTGGACCATAGGCCGGTCATCTCTACTGATGTGAGTTTATAAAGTGTTTTGAAATTGGAGGATTATTACCATAGACACGATCCTTTGCATAATATTACAAAAAAGTAAGTCTAGTGATGACAAATCGCATAATCTGAAGTTATGAACTTTATATATATATATATATAATCATATTCGAAATGATGTTTATAATGCAGGAAAAAAGAATTCAATCGTCATATTAATTGTATATATTTTTAAGATAAAATCTAGGAGACAAGTCTATGATGTTTAAAGAAACATTAGAGAATGTCAATTAAATTTCCAGCTCTTTACTAGATTATAAGGAAGAAGTACAAAATTAAAACAACTTAAAGATTTTTTTTTTATTAGAATATAATACCAAAATAAGGACATCATTTATTTGAAACATAAAATCGAAAAGGTAAAGACTGTCACATTTTATTGTTTGAAAAATCTATGAGAAACATAAAACAAAAAACTAATAAATAAAAATCAATCAAATAATGTAAAAACAAAAATTTAAAAAAGAATATACTATATGCCGTATTTGAAATGAATACTTATTAAATTCAGCAAATAAAAATTAATGTCTTCGAAAAATTAATGTCATTCCGTAGGATTCTGATAAACCAAATAAATTGTCCTTTTAAACCAGTCAGTATTACATTTCAACTAATCTACAGAACTTTGAATACGAGAAGATAGAGTAAAAATCATGGAGAGAACAACAATTAGTACCTTAAACCTCGATTGAATAGGTTACATTATTGATAATAATTATACTTCAAATTAATATTTTGTATTACTAAAATAAATAGATATTAAAATTTTAATATCAATTTTTTAGATAGTAAGATAACAAAAAGTAAAAATCTATCTAATAGTTTTTAATTAGAAATTAATTAAAAAAAATTAAAAAAATTTTTACTTTTCAATATAGACATTAAGTCGTTAAGCTTAAGGTAGGAGTAAAAGGGGCCAATTGGTTGATAGAAGCAAAAGTTGATGAATAGGAAAACGTGGAATGCATGGGAAATACTCGTAAACGAGAGTTAAAAGAACATCATAATCAACACTACTAATATAAATGCATAGAAAAGTTTTTATTTGTAAAAAATATAGTATATATTTGTATAGTTTTTAGAAAATATACATTTACTTATCATTATTAGTTTACATTCCTTAAAGAGCATTGCGTTAACATACATATGACAACAGTAAAATTGTATTATTATGAATAATTGTTTATATTAAAATAATTTTAAATAAACTAAATACTCCATATAATCTCTAGTTTTTGTGCATATGATTAAAATAATAAGCTTATATGATATTATTTTTAAGCAAATTTAGATCACAATACAACATTTAAAGCAATAAAATGGTAAGACTTATAACCCTATATCTCATATATGCCTCTCTCTTGAAATAAGACTATCCTCTGATATGATTTAATTTCTAATTATAGTATAATATTGTTTTTTATTCAGAGTACAAAATAAAACAAAATAAAATATAATAAATAAATAAAACTAAATAAGAAATAAATATATAAAACTTATTGAATAAAAAATGTATGAATTTTAAATATTTATTTTAAATAAAAAAAATAACTTCAAATAAACAAAATAAATAAAACTTAATAATAAAAAAACATAAAACTGAAAAAGAAATAAATAAAAAAAATAAATAAAATAACATAAATATATATAAATAATTATATAAAACGAAATAAGTTAAATAAAACTATATTAGTAAAATAAGAGTAAAAGGTAAAATAAAACTAAATAAGTAAAATAAAATTTAAAAATATAAAAACTCACATTCGCTGAATTTTGTTGAAATGCTGACAAATCCTTTGAATTTCTGCTTCCGTCAAAGGTGCGTGCATTATTCCTACGTGTTAGATTATCATCCGATAGATTACTGAAAAACAAATATTAATAGTTAATATATAAGCGAATATAAATATAAGAAATTAAAACTTAAACAAACCTGCCGCTGCCACTGGTGATAGCAGTTGTACTCGTTTCGCTTTGTGGCAAACACTGATAACTTGGCTTATTGCGATTTTGACTTTTCCTATTGGCACGACGCTTCATAGAAATTGTCGTAACAGAACCTACACCAGATAATATCCATTCAATATCAGGCTCCAGTCGTGTACTATCTTCTAATCCATCATTGTTTGTTTGGAGTGTTGGGACACGCATGGTATACTGTATTAAGCCATCAGCCGTTACAAGTGGCAATTGTTTGCGTGTCAGACGTGCCTGCACCGCATCCACAAGCGCCTCACCATCGTCACGTGTTGCACCAATGTTCTGTACAATATCTAAGACTGTAAGCGGCGCGGTTATTTGACCCAAAATTGCTAACACTTCTAACGCAGCCTGACGTACGCGTCGCTTACGATTCAGTGCAGCATATACTGCGTTGGTAATACAAGTTGTCGTGTCAAAGCAAGTGCTGGGAAAGGTCATCAAAGCATACATAACCATTTGGAGTGCATTTTCTCGAAACTATAATTATAAACATATATTTATGCGAGAAGTCATTTTATATGCAGATATATGTGTGGTAATAAAGCGAAATAAATGCATTAAGGTGCCTGTAACTCATTGTGATAATTACGGAATTCATAATTTTTACAATTGCATTAATTATACCGGAGCAAAACGGAAGTTTGCAGTTGCAAATTTGTGCCTCAAACATAACTGGGTCAGCAGAGCCCAAATAATTATGGAGGCAATTTATAATTTGTAAACAAATCTGAGGTTTCGCTGTTAATAACAAATTGTAATTATCACAATACACAATTTATAAAAATTACAGATAAGGAGCCACCATTTCTGCTGACCACATATACATTACACATTGGATTCTTTGATTTCTTGAAACCGTAAAGGTACTGTAGATGGCATGCAACAAATTAGCTTTTGAAATTAGAACTTATTATGAATTTCGTATATATTTATAACCATTGGCCCCAATCTATCTACTATGTTAAATAAGTGATTACTTACTCTTGAGCTTTTTGCATGCATAAAATCTTGCGATATCAGCTTAAGTAGTATTGCCGCTGGCGGTAGACGCTGCATTAGCGCTTTACATACACGATTAGCGCCAGCGCCGCCTTGACGACATAGCCCGCTCATTATCTGCGCTGTGCGGTCCTCCAGATTGTCTAGAGGCAGTCGTGTTATTAAATTCATTACTAAACGACGCTTCTCCTCTGCTACTTCGGGGTTACGTTCCGAAGACAATAGCGTTCGGAGCAGTGTGTCCAGACATGGTTGCACAAGTGCCAAATTTTCAGTGCTTCGTAATGCTTGCTCAAGCTGTATGACGCCTTGTAAGCGATGACGCCAATCCTAGTAAATAAACGAGTATTAGTTATTGAATATGAATGAATAATAGAAATGAAATTTATTAATACAATTTAAATATTTGACTTTAATGATGTTAAGTCTGCTGCGTAATGAGTTATTTTCCATTCTATTGAAGTCTTGTATCGACATAAAATATTTTAGCTTATCCATTAAATTCGATTTCTTTTCTACTTCTCATTCTATATTTTGTGTTTATTTTACTTTGAACAATGTTTGTTCCAATTTGTTTAAAACTGTCAATTGTGGGCGACATCTTCGACGGCGTATGCAAAACAAATGTAAACAACAGTTCTTGCACAACTGTTTCAAACAGTGGCGGGCAAAGTGTAAACTGCGTGTAAAGCGAATGCAGTGAAAATGTTATTTCATATGTAGGCCGTGTGGGAGTTCGAGTAAATTTAGGTAAAGTAAATTGAAATCTTCTAGGAATTTTTTCCACTGTACTTATGTAAATATTTATTTACTTATTTATTTATTGCACTTATTTATTATTTTTGGTTAAAAGTTTTCAAATTTATTTATAAAACATCTTATAAAATTTTCACAGCAGTAATACCTAATCCACATAATTTTTAGCTAATTTACCCTATTCGAAATTCTGGTAAATACCAACATTTTCAGCCATACGGAGATAATTTACTATTTCCCTCAATTTACCATCAATTTACTCGAACTCGCACACGGCCTAAATCGAAATCGTAAATATAATTATAATATACAAATGATTTATGTGTAAAATGGCAATAGATTGATATTTACTATTAGCGCAGCAGTACATATTTACACTGTAGCTATGCACATTAATTGAATGTTGACCACCACTGGTTTACAATAAATGCTGACAATAACAATTTCCCTACATTATACACATAAACTTTTGTGCAATAGATATAGAATTTTTGAAAGTAGAATATTTTATATTTTCTTAATAGATGTCGAAAATGAATACATAATAATATGAAGGTAAGTGTACTCAAACCGAATGTGTTAATTCGATATTTTGTGAAGTGATAAGCCATGTAAATCTCAATATACTTTTTAAATTATTTTAGATAAAATTAAAAGTGTACATTCAAATCAGCTGATTTTCCTTTCTTCAAATATTAACTGTAAAAATCTTTAGTGTATAGGATCAGCTGTTATGTAACCGAATAAAACTTACTATTGACATCCATTTCGATCGAAAAATTGTCTTGATAAGTACCAAGATCCACAAAATTTTAACATTTTGGGAAATTTTTTTAGTAGTATTATTAGCAGTGTTATTAGCTTTATATTAACTTCATTTTACATTTGTTGTATTACATAAAATTAGTAACAATTATATTATATATCTAAAGCTTACAGCTATAGCATTTTAGCCTTTGCAAGCAATTGCAATTGCCATTGCAAGCTCGTACAATTGGATTATTTCAGCCCCCTATTGCATTATTTCATTATTTTAATGTTGTTATTTTTTCTCTTTTATTATTCTCTATTTTAATATTTTTTTATTTTATTATTCTATTCTATAATTGTATATTCTTTTATTCTATCATTCTACTGTTATATTATTTTATTATCCTATTACTCTACTAATGTATTATTCTCTTATATTTATATCTATCATTCCATATCATTTTATAACGATATTTTTGTGTTATTCTCTGATTCTGTAATTTATTCTTCTATCATTCTATATTATACCAGAGGTAAGACATCACATTTAGTACATATTTAATGTACATATGTTTCAATACTTTTCGGTATACATTTTTTCGAGTGTATAATTAAACTAGTAATTTACTGTACCGAAACAAATCGTTGACTGCACATTGTTAAGGTGTCGTGAGGTTGTCACTTGTCCAGGTGTTGTCAACTTCTTAAGTTGGTTCTAATCGATTAGAACATTTGGTATTCCCTTTGCTTTGAATTTACGATTTTGTCTGCTGTTAATATTTTCAAGTTTTGCTGGAGCGGTGGTTAAAAATGTATTCATTATTCACACTCAAGGTTATGGGAGGTTGAAGTTTCTTATGCCGGTTTTCTAAAGGCAGAACCAAGTTATTGACTCACTGGAAGGAATAAAAAATTCGTGTTACGTGCATGCACGGGTGTGAATACAAAATTGATATTTCTGTCCAGTTGGGGTTGGGTTGCACTTAGAACTCCATATTTTTTGCACTACTTGAACGTATAAATTAACATAAATGAAGGCATATAAAGCGTAAAATGTCACAATTACGATTCTTTAAAACATTTTAAAAGTTTAAAGGAAGTTTTCAACTATTTTCGTATTTGATTTAAAGGCACACATTATTCTATTTTAAGTTTGAAATGAATCACAAGTCTTCACAGTATTCTTTAAGCATTTGAATCTATTTTGGGAGAAGGTTTTCCATCTGACAATAAATTAAGTTCAAGTTTGCGTATCTCTTCGATTTTTTACTATTCTTACTCGACAGATGCGTTTCCTGTTAGTCACACTTTTACACTGAAAGTATTCATACTGCTCAGTCTTAAGTATTGTTTAATTTGTAAACAATTTGTGAGCTTAAATTCAATTATTGTGTCTTCGATTGAATGTAGCAGCGGAAAAAGAAGAAATTGATTTACTTTCTATTGACGAACAAGGGCAATTTGCCGCTCATGGTTAAGTGGCCAATTAATGGTCAAACTAATTCCTATTATGACACCAAATTGAGTAGTTGTGACAAGTTAATTTCAACTAAAACTATTCGAATAATTTTCAATATATTAAGTGTTTTTTGAATAAGTAACATACTTTCATTATATTTTGAATGCAATTTAAAAATAATATTTTCTTTTACGTTTTTTTATTTCGAGAGTAGAAACAATACTTTATTCCTTCACATATAGTCGTTACCAACTACGAGTATCATTCTCAACGGAATTGTAGTTCCGCAAACAGAAACACCTTGGTACGTACCTTGATATTCACTTTGACAAATGCTTAACTTGGTGGTAACATATCGAAACAGAAAGGACACAAATAAAGCTCAAGGCTATAAGCCTTCGCTGGCTAAACGGGTATTAGTCTCACTTATCTATAGAGTCTAAGTCTTGTTATATAATCATGTCATTAAACCAATCTGAATGTATGGCTTACAGCTATATGGCAATGCCTGCTCGTCAAACGTAGAAATTCTGCAAAGATTCTAAGAATGATAACTGGTGCACCCTGGTATATCACAAATGAAAACATGCACTTTGATTTGGAAATTCCGATGGTTAAAATTAAGTTCAAAACTTGAAAACGATATGAATCCGCTGGTTAGACCTCTTGTTAATATGATAAATTCCACTAGACTGAAATGAAATGATATACCAGTCATCCTGCTTTCGTAAAGATTATCCTGTTTAATTCAACTTTTATAATTCATTGTAGTATGTATAAATAAAATAATTTGTTATGAATTTTATGAGTTTTTAAGATTTCAATAAAACTTTCAATAAAAGCGATTCAATAAAGGCATATTGTTAAATAAAAAAAATAAAATCGTTAAAGGCGTTTGGTTATCATCTTCGTCCCCTTACTCTTCACTTTTGACTCATTCTGTTTTTTCCTGATTGTCACATTAATTTCACAATTAGATTTGATAAAGGGTAACTACTGCTTGGGTCATTATGACATATTCCGGTTCTTAGGCTAAATAGTCAATCATCAGTATGCGTAAGCGATGGAACAAAAGGAATAGCGGAATGTTTTCAAAAGGTCTACAAAAATCGTAACAATCATTCAGTGAAAATAGAATTGCACGTACTTTTTTAAAACGACAACGGTATGACAAAAACCATCATTTTTGATTATGTTGTCTATTTTTTGGAGTAGATTTGAAAATATAGGTGTAACATATGTAGTTTCAGAAGAGTGATAACACAATGCATCCTGCTTAGAATTTATTATACAAGCAATTTCACATTTTGGTGATTTGAATTGGCAATCAAGATCAAGTAATTTCTCACCATTGGAGTTTTCGTTTTGGGGTTACATAAAGAGTCGTATATATACGGCCAATCCTCAAACTCTTGACGCTATTAAAATGAATATCCGTCATGTCATGACTGAGCTATTGCCAGCTATGTGCCGGCAAACCATCAAACCATTCTTCAAAAGGAGCCACATACATACAGATGTCCCGTGAAGACATTAACATAATTTAGTATTTCACACCTAATGGTAAGGTCCAAACATAATATTGTAATAAAAATTGAATAGAAATCTCAATTACATATGGTTTTCATTTGTGTTTACTTATAAAATCAGAAAGTATTTAATTCTGATCTATACCTTGAGTGCCAAAAAATAACAAATCTGCTACTGATTTTATTTAATATTCCAATTGTCTAGTTAAACAAACGCTTTTGTATTAATCTCTGAAGTGTAATAAAATTAAATTAATAGTAAAAGATTTTCTTTTTAATAGTTTTAATATAAAGCTTAATTATTTTGGTGTTCTTCTATTGTTGGCATACCGTGCTTCCGTGACATTAACCTGAATTTTCGCATGAAAACGTAAGTTGGCCGCATTTTCTTCGTAGCATTTCTGGTGCTTCAGTGGGCATTTGGAATATTTTTCCACTATTGTTAAGGAAAACAAAGGACTTTGATTACAATAAGTGCGTAGAGTGATTTGTATATTTCAGGATTTTTTTAGCTGAGGTTACTGGTGACATATGTTATTGAGGTCAGCAATTGTCCGTACCGGCATTTCAAGTTGTTTCCCTTAGAAACAGTGGACGGTGTTGCCGCCACACAATAGCGGCATATGCTTTATGGATGTAACATGTACCCAATAAGGGTTTATATACTAGCTTCTATTTGATGAGAACCGGAAGTTCTGTAATTACAAGCATTTTTCATAACGTTGCAATACTTAAATGTATGGCGTTGAAAGAACTGTTCGTTAATATGCCAAAATGTAATTACTGAAGTCATAAGAAAAAAGAAGTCCATCGGAACAATACGTATATTAATTTTAATGCATCCATAAACATTACTTATAATGGACGTAATGAGAGTTTTCAGAAAGTAATTCATATTTGTAAATACATTTGTTTTATAAAATTCATAAAATTAAATTATATTTCATTGTTAGAATAATCGAACAATAAATCCAAGAAATTATTTTCTAGAAATACATCTGTAATTGATATTTATTAGTATCTGGGATAGTGATCGACTGACAAGCTTAAAGTTCAATCAAAGTAGATCTGTACTCAGTACTGAGTTCTTAACAGAACAAGCTCCTTAGTTACAGGAGTTTTAAAAGAAGGAACTAAGGAACTTCTATTTTTTAAAGAATATTTTCATATTTTGTAAAAAACTAACAACTTCCATACCAGATTTAGTTAGTGAAATAAAGTCAAGAATTCCTATTAAACAGTTGATTTGAAACCTTAACAGCCTTAAGAGCCTTAAGTTGTAAGGTTAAGCTAGGCGATTCTCTCAGTTATAGCAATATAGTCTACGATTGTATTTTCTCATAATTATTACACTTTGCAAAAATGAAGAGAAGAAGTAGTTACGAAAAGTGTGATGATGTTCTAGAATATTGTGCCATATTCTCTATCCAACCAGGAAGAACTAGTATATTTCTTACTTTTCGTTGTTTTATTAGGTACAGCAGTAAAATAATTAGTTATTATGTATTAGGTACAACTTCAAAAGAAGTTTCCAACAGAATAATCAAAAACGATATAGAAAATTCGTGTTTATAATTGGTGCTCTGTCAAGCTCTTATAAAAGCAGACGATATAGTACTGATACTGAACACAGAAAATATACTTGAATATGTGATCAACCTAGGTACGTACTTAAAGACAAAGAAATTAGGACTAACGCCAAAAACACGAAGAAATGCGAGCATGACAAGAAGTGATGAATATATCAAATATAAAAGCGCCTCTTACGGAGAAATTCAATTATAACAAGCTGAAATATGGAGTTATCTGCGTACCACTTTATACTAATGTACAAAAAGACATTATGAATTAAGCGATTGAGTTGTAAATGCAATAAACAGATACCAATATTTGAACTACATCATATATTTCAACTATATTGAACTATATATCATTAATTTGGTTCGTACACGGCAAAGAAGAGCTGTAGAAATGAAATGCATTAATAAATATTATTATTTGGAATAATATTAATTTTTTTTATTGCCTTTTTTTTGACAGTGTCTGTATTGACTAATATAGGAAATGCAACCCTGCGATTTTTCATATCTTGGATGAAATATTCACATCTACAATATACTGAATTTCTTATTTCAAGACTCATCGTAGCTTTTAAGATCATTAATTTGTACTTAATATAAACATATTTTCAATAAAATAATCCTTATCAATCATAAATACTTTTCCTCTAGTTTATTTCTTTGTTATGTTAATAATTAATATTTAAAAACCGTTTAGTTTTCTCCAACGACTCACAAAACCAAACATATCCAGCCACTTGAAAGACATTCCTTCTTTCTTAATTTTCTTGTACCCAAAGTATAGTAAAAGAAGGACAGTTGCAATTTTCAAGCATTTAAATGCAGGAAACAACCTCTTATTCTCATTGTCATCATCATTTGTAGGAGTGACATCAACACCGAAAGGGAAATAAAACTGACGCCACATGTAATCTTCATTAGAGCAGTTGAAAGCTTCTTCAGAAGTAGTTATTGCAGAGTCTGTGCCATAACCCATAATCGATGATCCTGTATTTGATGAGTCATCATCAAAAAAATTTTGCGGTGGGGTAATGACAGATAGAAAGTCAAGAGACTCATTATCAGATTCGGAATCCTAACAAATGAGTTATATGAAACTATTCTATTCATATAGGTATAAATAATAATATATATTACCATCTTTTATAACAACAATTCGAATATTCTTGTTGAGATATTATTTGACTACAAATGAAAAGTCGGAAATGAAGCATACAGTCCAAATAAATGCTGACAACTAAGTTTTTATAAAAACTTGTTTTTTGTAGTATAGTACGCAATAAAATCTGTTCACTAAAAGTTGTACTAGATCTAGTTCTTACAAGTGGGAATAATTTATATGCTATGAACAAAGAACACTAGTATTCTTTGGTTATGAAGAAAGGGTTAGCAGTATTTTTAGATATTATATCTATTAGTAAATATAAAATTGTGAATAAAAATTGCTTTGAGATAAATTTATGTATTTATTTATAATAGTATTTAATAATTATTTAAATATTGTTAGTGGCAATAATGCTTCCGATTGTTAAATCTAGAGTAATTTAAACTTAAACACGAATTTTTAATTGGTATATCTCAAGCGAAGTATATAATGCTTGAAATTCGTTTTAAGACTCCAGATATTTTCCCTAATTAATAAAATTAATCTGAAATTAATAACTGTCTTATGTTATTTTGTATCTTAAATACATATGGCAATTGCAGCATTTGCAATATTTGGTTTGTTCCCGTACTTTTCAAGCAAGGGTCAATTAAACTTGTGAATGAGAATGATATTGTAGTAGTATATAGTATTTAGAGTAAGTATTTAGTATAAGTGTTTAGTTCATAAGTTTAGTAATTAGTTTATCATTGTAATATTATACATTAGAAAATGTACATGGCAACTCTAGTTTGTCAAGTTCAACTGATGTGTATCATGAAAATAAAGGAGTCAGTATATTACTGACAACCGAAGAGGTGATGCGTTTTGTATTTAGAGTTGCTTGACTACAATATCAAATATCCTTTCTTAGAAAAGCAGTTCCCACAAGAGAAATGTTTAAAATATAAAATATGTATCATATGTTTTATATGTAAAATGTAAACAAACAACAGCTGAGCTATAAACAAAGGCACTAAGGAAGTAAGAATTCAATAAAATCTTAGTTTTTATTATTTAAACATGTAACTAATATATATGATGTGTACATATTAATTATATATTTAGTTTTTTTGTGTGATATGTTATTAAATGAAGTTTATAAAAGTTCTATCAGCTGCTTAAATGAGCTCATTATAATGTGAACGTTCACTCATTAATTTAAATGATCAAGTTCCTAAATGAGACAGTGTGAATGTACTATTAGCCAGTGTGGACAAATAGTAAGTGAAGGTGGTAAAAAATGGTAAATAAATTCATTTTTTAAACGAATGAACTCTTTTTTTTAACCATATCTTAAAAGACATGCATGATTTACTAACTAATGTCTTTTTAACCTATGTTAAAAAGGCTGTCTTCTACTTTATTATTTATACTCACTTAACGTAATGTTTAAGATGTTATTTTTTCTTAGTGGGATTGGGAATGATTAATGACATAAATATTTTTAAAAATAAATGATTTAATAAATTAATAATTGAATAACGTCATTTATTCGTAGTTCAACTGGCAGGGCTAGAAATATGCAATGACCAATTAAAATTAATGGAATTACTTTCTTTGTTCGAGATTTGCATGTCCTTTTCAATTAACGAAATTCACTCAAGCAAATAATAAAAAATTGATAAAAATTCTTTGTTTTCAATTTAAAGAAAAATTATTTTAAATAATTCAAATTCTTGAAGTCTTGAAGTCTTGTGACGTGTGTCGGACTGGTTACAGTATCTTGACATGCTAGTATTTGGATTAGCAATGGAAATTCGAATTTAACGACTGCTGCATTTTGAGTGCCTTAAATTTATATTGTTTGTTGTTTCCATAACATATAAAATAATAAAATAACAACAAATTAAAAATTAAATATTTAAATATTTGGAGTTCTTATTCACGAATTGCATCCAACATTGTTAACAGTTGAATTCTCCTGGTAAGTATCGCTGGTCAGTTTAGCTCACGCGATATAACCGACCAACACATGCCTTTTCCCAAATATATTAAATTTGCTCCATTTAAGTCCTTACTTTTCCTTACATTGCACATAATAAACAAAAAAAAAATATATAATAAAAATGAAATAAAAAAAAAAAGAAATATAGAGCCGGCTGAACAGCAGCCACACTGAATTTAGGTCAAACCGAAATAATGAAACATTAACCAAATTGCCGCTTCCACACCTACGGGAAGAGGAAGGAAGTCGAACTACAAGTCGCCATGGATGAAGTCAGGATATGACGCTGATATGAAATGCGAATGGCTGACGTTCCGTCGGGTATTAGTAACGAAATGACTGAAAGAAAAATAATAACAATAAGTAGAAAGGGAAATAATCACAAATAAATTGCACGTAAGAATTTTAATATTCGTAAAAAAAGCCGCCATGAAATTGCCTAAGAAGTACTTGGAATTGCTGCAGTAATGACAAAATTTCTCATGTTCCTTACTGGAAATTTACTTTAACATGAAATATATCTCCAGATTTCAGGCGTACTTCTGTTGGGTCATACGTGCAATACAGGAAAACTGGGTTAAGTATGCACGGTTTTAATTTTTTGTTGTTGTTTTTTTTTTTGGCCACCATTAAAAGTGTATGGGAAACCACAAAATATGGAAAGTAATCCACATGTTAAAGAATAAAATATGAGCTAAAAAAATGGATATTATTTTACTAAATGTTTTGAGTAACGCAAAATAATTAACAATTTATTACTTTCATTAATTCAGTGTGAAAAGATTTTGTTCGCAATTCTACATATACCATATAAGTAAATTTTTTTATTCCAAAGTTCTTATTTCCATTAAAAAATATTTCACACATTTATGCATAATAATTTTTATTTTGACGAAATAAAAGTACATGTACTTCAACTTTCAATATCTAGAAATGCGAATTCCACAGAACAAATGTAAAAGACGTGGTTACAGTCTGCGTCTTTTCTGCTAACAAAACTCTGGTGAAGTTTTGGGGGTGAGGCATGGCATATCTTCATCCTATTGACTATCTGAATGAATCTTCATGAACTTCATCATCAGTTCATTATACTCCCTAATGAGCTTAGGGCCTACTCTATGGATGACACAATATATATGTATGTATATAGTATTTTTCGACACAGTAATAATGTAATATGACACATGTTTTTGTTTTAGGAATAATAATCTCATTTCATTAAAGCCTGTTTTAAATAAACTATACATCATCATCATGTTTTCAAATTCACTCAATAAATTGTTATAGTCTAATAGATTCATATTATAGATAATAGAATATTTAGTGCAACAGTTACTTGGAAATCAACGAAAAAAGCCTAAAAGCAGTAATTTGCACCCAAGGGAAGTGAAAATGTTGCTATTACAGACATGTATTTCTGTCTGTAAGCTCGATTCCAAATAAACCTCAATCCACCCCAGTATGGTAAGTTGCATAAGTTCGAATTTTTTATTTTTACTATATAGTATATTCAATCAGTCGTAAGTTTCTTCCTCCTGCTTTTGTGTGTAATATGAATACTTTGTGTAATTACGCGTCGCTCCGTCTGAACATGAATGAATTTATACAATACAAAATAATAAAATATAATTACAGTTACTGCGAGATACAAAGGTACTCTGTTCTTGCATATCCTGCCAAAAAAACATGTTAACATTTCTGTTAAAGCGCATTTATAACGCATATGTTAACGCATATATTTACTCATACGCGAGACTGCATATCCCAGTGACCTATTTTACCCCGTCGAAGGGAAGGATACTGTTTGGATTTTAATGTATTTCTAACTTTAGGCTTAGTGGTCATTATTATTGGTCATGTATGATAATTTATTACAAACTCAATTTCCCTCTATATTAGTATGGATACTTGTGTATTAATATAAAAGTACATGCATGTATGTATATATATTAATTAAATAAAAAGTAACGTCTGACTTTACCAGTAAAGCATTTATATATATATATATAAATACCTATATATAGATATTATTTTATATATTTTATTTTTCGTTCATAATTTCAATCATTTAAATACTCTGAATCAAGTTAAGGATAATTTCAAAAAGTACTGGTATCAGGGTGTGATACTAAATGCGATACACGTGATACAATTAGGTAATATTTAAATTATATATATAAACAGACATGGTAATGTGGTTTCAAAAAGTGCTTTTCCGAACTTTTGAGGTCCCGGAAGTTAGAGGATAAACATTTTAAGCAAGAGGTAAGATGGTATACCATATGCTGATTTAAAAAATTTTTTAGAAACCTGTGCTAAAAATATGTATTTATATTGTAAATTTACTTCTAAAATATATATGATGCGCTGAAATCTGTGGATTTTAGTCTGTAGTATTTATTTTTATTTCTATGTATATATGTGTGTATTAAGGTTAGAAACCTGTGCTAAAAATATGTATTTATATTGTAAATTTACTTCTAAAATATAGATGCTGTTGTATATTTAAGAACTTGAACAGAGAATATGGTTAGTAAATACACTGAATACAGCACCATATGTCGAATACGAGTTATATTGATACAGAAATGCCCTGAAGGAGAGTTATATTAATCTAATCCAGATTATAAAACAATGACTCATAGAGAAAAACGTGAGTGTTTTAGCAAATAAGGACACATGATTTCATAAAAATCCCGATGTAAACACAGTCCAAACGTATCTTTCGTATAAATATAGTATATTGGATATTTCTTACATCTTTTGTCGGGGCAAATATAATCGAACTCAATAGTAACACTTTTGTAAGCAGGTGATGTTGAAAATGTTATTTTACGTGGAACTCTTTACGGTACTTTAACTATATACAAAGAATATAGATTCAGATATTCAGTAAAAAGTATCTTAAATAAAATGGACATGATAAATCAAGTGAAATAAAAGTTGACTATTATAAGTTAATTAATTTTGTTAAAAAAACTTTAGAGGACAGGGACATATTTAATGTTTGTTTTTTATATTAGAAACATGTATGTATATTGAATATTCTTTTATATTAAAAACATCTAATTGATTTTCAAAAAAACATATGGCTGAAACCTTATCGTACACATCTTGTA